GGAGTAAATTTTTCTTTTCTCAATTTTAAGTGTGTTTAAGAGTCGATAAAAAAAAAGGAGTATGTTTAAGAAATTAATTATCACGGAAAAAAAAATTTATTATCATTTTTTCTTAGCTCAATTTCAATAAACAAACAAAATAGCAAGTTAATCCATTGTAAACTGCTAAACTCTGTCACAGTGTAAAAGATTTAACCCAAATTATTTGAATTTGTTCAAACTATCTAAAGTATTCCGAAAAAAACTATAAAGATTTAATTTATATAATTGGAACTTACCCAATTACCCAAAAATAATTAAAGTATTCGAAATATCCAAACCAAGTTGGCTGGGAAAATTATCTGTTACATTCGATCCGATTCGGTATCCGTTTCAATTCCGATCCAAAAAAATTCGGATATCCGTTTTAAATCAAATACTAAAATTTAGTATCCGTCTAAAGTGAAGCAAATCATACTAGTTTTAAAAATCCGAATATCCGATCTGATATGTGTATTACTTATATATACATATAATATGGTAGATTTATAATGTATATTTACATTTTTTTACTTTTAAATATATTTGGTGAATATATTTATAGTAAAAATAGATAGATACTAACNTTATTTGAAATATATTTCTTAAATAAAACATATATATATATTATTTTTCACCGTTTTAAATATTTCACTTTTCATATTTTAAACAATTTATCGAATATAATTAAATCAATTTCATATATTTAATGATTAATTAGTTTAAACTTTATATTAAACTTTTTTTGGAAAAAATATTACGGTGTTTTAATTTTTTTTTAAACAGATATCCGTGAAAATTTGGATATCCACAAATATTCAGTAAAAATCCGGATATCCGTCATCTCAGATATCCGAAATTTTTCGAAGCACAACAAATCGTAAAATTAGATGTCCGACAAAAACGAATCGACTCACAAATACTGCATTTTTCTGGATATTCGATCCGCGCCCACGCCTAATATAAATAAGAGAAATATATTTAATTAGATTTTGATATTTTATATACTAGTTCAACTCTTAACCAATACCTAAAGTAAAATATTCAAAAATAAAATTCAACTAGCTTTTTGTCGCGCATCGGGATTATAATGTATTGTAAATCAAGTGGTATATCTCTATAACATCTTTTATTTTACAAAAATTAATATAAATGACACTTAGATTAAATGTAAACTTTTTCAATGTAAATAGAATACGTTTGAGATTTTGGTTTCTCTCTAACTTATTTGAGCTTATCAAACCCAAATACTATCGCATTAGTATATAAATCTTTTTAAATAAAAAATAATAAAAAGTAAAAATGATGATTTTCGAAATTCAACCATTAATGTTTGAATTGTAAAATTGTATGTTTATAACAAAGACGCAAGTTTAATTAGAGTATGAATACAATTAAACGATATAAAAAAAATAATTGTATGATCAATCACATACGGTATTCAAATGAACATAAATATAATTTTTATAAAGTAATTAACATCGGTAAATGATTCATCGTTAAAACATTATGTTATATAACGTTTAAATATTAAATTAGTATATTTTAGTTGGATTTAAATTAATAACATATGTATTTGTAGATCATGTTAAGAAATTAATATAAATAAGTAAAGATTTCCAACATGACATATATAATGTTTTGATTGGTTAATTTAATTGATGTGTCCCTTAAAATTTTCATTGAGTGACACATAATTTTTTTTTTTTTTACTTAAGGTGCAAATGGTTGACACAATAGATGAACAAAATTGAGTGAAATTGGCTTTTCATTTAATTCCTCTAAAATATCAACCATTTGAGTTGAATTTGTTGTTTCCTAATTTAATTGGGTCTTCCCAAATAAGAGGAAAATAAGACTAATTCCTCTAGAATTGTTATTCTTCAAAAGAGGAGAGGAATGGAAAACATGTTAATTTCCCTCTAC